AACACAGTATCTAGGAAACTTCATTCCAGTCTATTATTTTTATTACTTTATTTTTTTTTATTAAGTCATATATACATAGATCATAAGTACCTTTACGCCTTTGTGGGATTCAATGTATTGATTATTTGTACAAATTAGAGTGCTTACATCCTACTAATTAACATAGCTTTCCCAGTCTATTACTTTAGTCTATATCCTTTTCATTTCTCACTAGGACATTAACAAGAGCTCCTGAACTGATCTCCCTAGCATGAATCTCTTCTCTACTATTCGGTATCACCAATACTAACTTACAAAAAAATGAACCTCATTTCATCATTCTTTTTTCTAAAAGTTTTTTACAATCCCCCACTGTTCATAGTGTAAGAGTGAAAAGGCACTTCTCAACATGTCCTCATCCAACTCTCCGGATCCACCCTCCCACAAATTGCCTTCAATCCTCTATACTACTACCACACTAAACATTACACCAGGGATCCTCAAACTTTTTAACCGGGGGCCAGTTCACTGTCCCTCAGACCGTTGGTGGACCGGACTGCAGGGCCTGGGATAAGTCAGCTGCTAAGCAGGACAGGCAGCAGCGGCAAAAACATCTGGCAGGCCGGATAAATGTCCTCAGCGGGCCACATGTGGCCTGCGGGCCGTAGATTGAGGATGCCAGCATTACACTGTATGTAGATAGAACAGGCCCTCTTATGACTGACTACAAGCTTTTGTTAATACTGTTCTATGACTAGAACATCCCTCACAGCCTGGTAAACTCATTCTTCAATGCCCAACACCTAGATGACAAGTTGACCATTTCTTTAGCCATATTTGCTATATTTGCCATGCTCTCACACCACTTGTTCATATCTACCAATGTTTAGTATGTTGTTAATAATCTATTTATCTGCCCTACTAGACTTTGAGCTCCTCAAGAATAGAACTGGAATACTCTGCATCCATAGCACCTATAATAATGTATGACACATAGAAGAGGTTAAAAAACATGGTGAATATGTTTATTTTAAAAAGCAATTTCATGTACTGAGAGTTAGACCTCAATACTCAGAGGCATTTCACAAATAGCATTTAATATGACGAGCACTGGCCAGATAAGATAATGATTCTTGGTGACTTTGTGCTTATGGAGCATGAACACCATTAGACAGAAGCCCAGTTATCCTTAGCTTAGTTTTCTCTTTTTTTTTTTTTTT